GGGGGGAGGGCGGGGGGGAGGCAGCAATATTGTAGTTAGTCTAATAGGGGTGCTCAACCTCTGGCCTGCAGGCCAAATCTGGCCCAAGAAACTATGATATCAGGCCCGCAGGGCTCCTGCAGGGAGTTGGAAAACTTGGCAGTCAGGGACCGGTGGAAGCTCTGCGCAGCTGGCTCCAGCCTCACCTGGGCCATTACAGTGAAAGGGGATCAAGGCTGGGCTGACCCTCAGGCATGCAGATTGGGCCAGACTGCTCGCCCACGTTAAGATTTGGCTGCTCTGTTCCAGCCCCACTCCACACATCCAGATCAGGATTGCTTCATCTCCATGCAACTCCCACACCTCCAGATTAGGGCTGCCTTACCCTGCATATCTGGACCAGGCTGCTTCTACCCCTGCTGCCATATTCAGGCTCAGAATTGCTCTGCCCCACCCACCCACCTCCACATGTCTGGATCAAGGCTGCTCTGTTACCAGTCCCCCCCCATGCATACAGATTGGGCCCAGGCTGTTTCCCTCCACCCCACACATTGGACTGGGGCCACTCCGCTTCACCCTGCACCAAGTAGATGGATCAAGGTCAGGCTACACAACACCCTGCAGCTGGATCGGGCCCACTGTACAGATTTGGCCTGCAGTGGGACCTGGTACTGTCCATCTGGCTCAAGGGGCAGAAAGGTTGGGTACCACTGGTCTATAAACATGCATCTCTACCCTGTCTTCTGCTTGACTTCAGACTAAAACAGCTAACTACTGCTCTCTGCTCATGAATTTGGAAAAAACGTGATGTATACAAATAGTCATAAGAAAAATCTTGCCTAAGATTTAACACACGTTCTCCAAAATTATAAAGGTCAGTTTTCAAAGATCTCCAGTTTTTCTGTCCTTCATCTTCCTTTAGCAATACTGCCTTGTCTTCAGGCATATCATTGAACCACCACTCTGAACTTACTTCTAAGAACTTGATCATTCATTTCCAAATTAACTCCCAGTTACAACTGAGTCTGTTTATATGGATAGGCTGAGAAAATGTTATTAAAAAGAACAAAGGCTCATGTCACTTTTTAAAAATGTTTTACACAAGCAGGATTCCACCAAAATTAGCAAACAGCAGAACTTCCACTGGAGCTCAATCAGGCCAGGATTTTCTTCTGTGTTAGCAGATACTGTCTCTTCCTTTAGTGAAAAGGAACAAATTTAAGGTCTAGCACAAATGTTAGCTACTTTCCTTAATCAGGAAACTGTACTCCACAAAAGGTCTATCACAAAACCAAGTTGGATTATAAGCACTCATCTTGTCCTAGTCCTAAGCATTTATTCATTTAATGAGTCTCAAAGAAACTTACTGAATGTATGGAGTAATATCTGCTTCTGTCCACTTTTCCCAAATGTGGAATAAGCTGTTGAATCTTTCCTGATTATCCTCAGGCAAGTCTTCTACTTTTAGCAGGAAAATAGTCTGTGGTCTGGAGTGTCTATCAACCAGAGCCAAGCCCTATTAGAACATTGAAAAAATAAATTCAATACAAGAACTAATTAAACCTCTCCTCTTGGCAACAGTTGACATAGACTGTCAAACTATTTAGCTTCAGTATTTGTAATTTCTAGAACAGTACAAATAACTCAAATGAAAGTTATCACAAAAGACAAGACATTATCTTTTACTTTTTTTCCAATGACTGCAGCACCATAATATCATACGATGTTCTAAAGTATGTTGGGCTTCTTGTTCCAACTACAAACATAATGTTTACATATTTTAGAGAAGTCCACCTCTCCTCCACAACCTCCCCTCTCCCCACCCTTCACTAACAACTAGGGAGTAATTCCCAGAGGTGGATTGGGGGAAGGGGGATGATGCATTCACACCTCCTTTAATTCATGTTCCACCCACATTTTAAAACCAACTGCCCAGGAGGGGAAGTGGCATTTCTATTCAGGCAGCAGTGATGAAGTCAGTTGACTTGATGGCTCATTATAATATGACCCAGACTGCTGCTAATCTCTCTTTACTCCACAGGTGTTAATGACCCTCACTTCTTTCTAATGATCTTGATATGCCATCAATCAAGTTTCTTCTACAGTGCTGCTGCCTGTTAGCTATTCCTGGGAATATATTTCTTCTATTTCACAGCCCTTCAGATTGTTTTCAGTTCTAATTTAACTGAAGGGAACATTAATTCAGGTGTAGAAACGAGAGACAGTGAAGTGTTGGATCCAAGAGCCACCCATGATAGTTCCTCTGCTAAACTATTGAGTGTCTAGGTCAAGATACTCAAGAGGGCTAGATTTTGTTTTACAAATCTAAACAAGAAACATAATTAAATATAATGATTACAGAACTAACGAGACAATATGTTTGGACTATTTTGCCTAGTTTATTGTGTTTTTTAAAACTTTATATAAGATAACAAATTAGTACACATTCTAACAAAGTTATATTTGTTTTTGCTTTGATGTTAAACTGTGTTCACCCCCCTAGCACCTCAGTAAAGTTTCTAATTTCTCTTTAAGTTTTATACAAATTTGTGCTATGTCATCACATATAACACAGCACATCATCTGCACCCCCCTTTCCATAATCCAAGAGCCACCCATGATAGTTCCTCTAAGCTATTGAGAGTCTAGGTAATTTCTCTCTCAGAATCTCAAATAAGAAGACTAACGCAGGGGCAGTTTGGCTCTCTGAGCCTCTGGCAGAAATGTTTGAAATGAAGTGGGAAACAGAAAGTTTGCTCATGTTTTATCTAAGTTCTATGTAACACCCTGCAAATGGATGAAACTGTAAGGGTAACACCCTGCAAATGGATGAAACCAAACAAGCTGGTTTAGAGAATGTTACCTTGAGCTGATCCAGCCTTGTTGTCATTCCTTCAGGGACACTTTGTTGCCATACTTCTTGAAACTCTGATAGATTAAATTTAACCGCATTTTGCAAGAGCATTTGTGCTGTAGTTCTGCATATTTTGTCTTCGTTCATTTCAAAATAAACTTCACCTGCTTTAAAAAAAGCCACACAGCCAGGAATTCTTATTTTATGCTATTAGGACAAGTCAGCCCAATTCCTCCTCCCCTCTGCTAATTCGATGGGCCTTTTGTACGCTCAGATCAAGTGTGGTACCTTCTGACCAAGTCTCTCCATTCTAGGGAAATAAATATCAGAACAACCCAATATGTTCTAGGCCCTATTCTGGCCCCTGTTGACATAAGGTTGATCTCAATAGACCAGTATCTTTTCCAGCATAAAGTTAATTCCACCCCCATCCCCTCCCCAATGTATTTGGGATTCAACCTGTTTCTACAGGAAGTATCTGCCTCCTCTTTTTAGTTTCCAAGGATCTACATTCTCATCCTAGGTCTTCTACCATAATGTAGGGTAAAGAAGGGGGTGAGGTAGATTTCCCGTCTTCTTTCGCCTCTGCCGGAAAACTAGGTGAATTCTCACAATTAAGGACAGGACAAATATTGGGCATGAGGCCTATGCCCAGGTCCTCCCATAGGCTTCCTGTAATTCAGACTTGTTTCTTAGGCAGCTTGTCTACAGATATCCCAAAATGCCACCCTAACTCTTTCCTCAGCTTCTTCAGTAGTTAGTTCAGTCCTGCCAAATTCTTGTTCTCAGCATAAGCAAATAGAGAGCCTTACATCATAGTATAGTCCAAGTTCTCCTAGTCCCAATCTGTTATTAAGTTCTGAAATCAGAAAAAATTTATCTTGACCTGCAGACTTTCAAAGGTCATCCTATTTGGTCAGACAGACTAATTCAGATGCCTGGATAACAAAATCCATCGGAAAAAAGTACTTTAATTCTCTACAAAAGATTTGAACTCGAATCATAGAAATTAAAAGTTTAGAAAGAACTCTGCTAAATTCATTAATTTTCTACAACAACATTAGTTCCTCACGGCCAGTTAAATAGGAAAGGAAGTCTTAGTCATCAGCCTAAAAAGGATTTTAATTAAAAATAACCTCTCTACTCATAATAGCCTAACAAAACCTATGAAAATTCTGTTATTTTACACTGGTAATATTGGTGTTACCATCTTTATTTAAAAGCTTAAGATGTCATAACTCACCTTCATCAGTATATTTCTTTCCATAGCTTAAAAGAATGTGTTCTATCATTTCTCTGAAAAAAAACAGAAATTTAAAGGTTTACTTTTATACGTTTCATTTTTTGACTAAACGAATGTAGTTTGAACCTGTGCTGTCCCCCACCACTAGAAACACTACAAGTCTTTTAATTCTTCTGACTAGCAATTTGCAGCAGCAGATACAAAGAGGAGCAGGAGCAGACAAAACCAAGAGAAAAAATGGGAGGATGAAACATGTCCTAAGGGCTAAAGGCTAATACACACTGAACAGAAACACAGAAGGGTGTCAAAAACTAAAAAGAGTGAATTGGTTGAAAGGAAACAGAATGGATAACAGCTAAAAAGGACAGGAATGAAGAGTCTGACTTTAGATTTCCAAGACTTATAACAATGGGACCCCAATCCCTCATTAGCAAAACACACAACCGGAGCTGCACAAAACGTGTCAGTAACTTACAATATACTAAAAAGAGATGATACTCAATGGAGTAAAGGCATCAAATTATAGTCTAACACAGTGGTGTTCAACCTTCAGTCCATGGGCCACATGTCATCCAGGTCCCAAGAATTTGGTAGCGAGGAAGTGGTGGAAGCATTCATTGCTGCTCCCTTGCTACCAAATCTCCAGACCTGTAGAGAGCCCCCAGGCCAGATGAAGCCCTGTGAGCTAGGCCTGTGGGAGCAGCCCTGCACCACACTTCCGGCCCTCAGAGCCAGAAGACTGAGCACCACTGGTTTAACTTGTATCCATTTCTAGGGAGAAGTAGTTACCCATGTTAGTCTGAGGTTAGGAAGAAGCTGCCACACTATCCTACGTCTTTGTACTCATTTGTAGACTTTTTAATCAAATAAAACATGTGAGTACATTACAGTCCCCTAAACAAGGCTTTAATTTTATTTTTGTGGCACTTAAAATAGTAAACTTGAAAATAGATTTGCAGTTTGATGGAATGGCTTTAAAATATTTTGCTACTATCATCTTCATACATAATCACTATAATGGTCAAGAGTGTATACAGATAGTTATATCACACATAGCACTAAACTACCAGAAATACCAGTGTTTTGTGCATGAGAGATCCACCACATATATTTGACTTGCTTTGCTTCATGATGGTATTCTACCCTAGGCAGCTCTTCAATTAGTGTCAACATATACTACTGTCAATGTATACTATGCAGCCGAGTCAGCATAAAATATTTTAACAGTACTCACTACTTGCTGCCAAGAGACTGGGATAGACTCTTTGAAAATCCTGCTCCCCGCCTCCCCCTTTTTCCATGGATTAGGGGTACAAATTAAGAGGGGGTGGGAAAAGAGGGTACAAGAAGTCTTTGATATTGAACCCCTGCACAAGATAAAATTGCAGTTCATGCTCCCCAGAGTAAAAGGTGGCTCATTTCTAGTGCTCCATGGGATACAAGATAATTAAAAGAGATTATGAGATAGGACCAGGGTCCTCTCTCACCTGCAAACCAGTCAGTTTAGCCAGACAAATGCAGTCGACTGGCAGGTTGCAAGCTGTCCCTCCAGGGAATTGTAAGAATGCACATTTTCCCAAGTACAGTCAGACTTCTCCCTTAGGCTGTGCACTGCTACACTGTCATTAAAGTTGTACTGAGCCTTAACAGTACAAAGGATCCTTATTACACTTCTCTTTATGCAAATTTGGTTTGTGCAAATTCATTTATATGCAACAACCTTATTTATACTAAAAATTCGCTTTGTGTGAGAAAAATCTGATCTTATGCAAAGTCGGCTGGCAATGAGCAGCCTGCAGGCTGACAGAGTGACAGCTTGCGTGGAGCTGGGAGGAGGAAGGCGGTGAGACAGAGGGCGCTATGTGCACATATAGTACATACATGCGGCCCCAAGTAACCTTGAGGGCAGCTCTGGCAGATAAAGTGGGGGAAAGAGAGGGATTGAGGCCACTGTAGGGAGGGAGCCGGGCAGGGCTGGAGCTGCTGTCCAGCTGGTGTGTGCTTCGGGCCTGGGGCTGCAGTGTGCAGCTGCAAGGCCCCAGCAGGGAGCAGGATGGAGCCTCTGGTGGCTAGTTGGGGGAGGGAGAGGGCTGGCTCCCCACTGCCACCCACACTTCCAAGGGAGGGGGGGGGGAAACAAAAAAAAAAAAACACAGGCGCAGTGGGCCCTGGCCCCAGTCCTGGGCCTGGCTTGGCTCCTTTCCCTGCCTGGTCCCAACACCACGCACCCCGCTGCCCTGGCCACGTGCCTACTGTGACACAGGGCTGCACCCCTCAGAGCTGCAGGCACAGGAGGCATGTCCCCAGGGCAGCACAAGACGAGTAGCCACCATTCCCTGCTGCTCTGCTTCCCTGCCCTGGGTGCCTCTCCAGCCCAGGGGACATGACACCGCGTGGCTGGGAATGGCAGGGCTGCGCAGAGGCTACAAGCTCCCTGCTGCACCAGATCATGCCCACTGGGCTGCAGAGGCACACAGGGCAGGGAAGCAGGGAACAGTGGGGCTGCACAGAGAAGGTGCTCACCCTGCACTGCCTTGGTGATGTGCCCGCTGCGCAAGCTGCTGCTTGTAGTGTGGGCCAAGCACCATCTCCATGTGGCCCCGCTGTTCCCTCCTTCCCTGCCCCAGGTGCCTCTCCAGCCCGGCAGACATTACCCAGCGCAGCAGAGAGCTCGTAGCCTCTCTGCGCAGTCCTGCTGTTCCCAGCTGTGCTGGGTCACACCCGCCAGGCTTGAGAGGCACCAAGGGAAGGGAAAGGAAGCAGGGCGGAGCTAGAGCGGAGAGCAACCACCATTCCCTACCACCCTGCTTCCTTCCCCCAGGTGCCTCTCCAGCCTGCCCCGTGGTGCCCTGGCAATGCATCCCCTGTGCGTGCCGCTGCTTGTAGCGTGGAGCTCGCAGCCTCTCCATGCAGCAGTTATTGTATTGTGTGATTACTGTTTGAATTTGTCATGGTTTGGCGGGGAAAGTGAGGCTAGTATGTATCCCTATTAAATACATGTAATAATGGATTCTCTTTATGCGAATTTGCTTTATGCAAGTGTTTTTTAGAATGCAACCCTGGCATAAAGAGAGACCCGAGTGTACTGTACTTTACATAAAAAGACCAAGGACATCTACTCTTAAACACTGTGCTGGCTGCGTTCCATAGTTACAGAAAACATGAAATTAGTGCAAATATGAATGCAATTAGTAAATGAAAATATTAGTGATAATTATCAGTACCTTGGTTTGTAATTCTTTAACTATTAAATACTTAAACAACAAAAACACCACTTACTTAGGTTCCAAAGGTCCAAGCTCTTGAAGACAGACATTTAAAGGAATCTTACTGAAAGACCAGGACTCAGAGTCTATTAGTTGAGTTATATGATTCACTAGTTTCACCTCATAATCAAATTCTAGAATTCTCCAATATCCTATGAAATATAAAAGAGATGTAATGCAATATTATATAGGCCAGGGCTGTCCAACTTCTGAGTGGCTGAGGGCCACAGACTCCCCCCCCAGCCATACACCATGAGTCACAAGCTGTTAGTGCCCCTCCTACCACAGACATGTTCACCACCCCACAGGTCCCCCCTGCTGTATTGTCTGTGCCCTGCATGCCATACCATGAGGAACTCCCCCCACCACACCATGCAGCAGGTAACTTCCTCTGTACCATGATGACACCCATGCTGTGCCATACAGTCCCTGCCTCTCCTGGAGCCACCCAACTGAAAGTTCCCTCAGTCCTACCCCCAAAAGCCAGCAGAAGCTGAGAAGGCAGAGAGAGACTGGAGACCCTAACAGCAGCTGCCAGAGTGGTGGGAGAACAGCACCTAGACAGGAAGCCCAGGAGCTACAAGTTAACCCTTCAGCAGCTGCATGTGACCCATGGGCCACCAGTTAGACAGCAAAAGGCAGGAGATATGATATAGGCATTAATGGAGACCAGCATAATTATTTTTTTCAAAGTGAACTTGACGCCTTCTATATTAAAGCTACTGGGTATTTTGCAATTACAAATGAAAAGGGAAGTGGTTCATGGGAATGTAATAAGCTGGAATCCACATTTTGAAAGTCAGAGGAGGAATAAGTGACAAACATTTTCCAGTTTACTACTCATCTTTGTATTTCATGTTATGATAGAAACTGTTGGAATCACATGAGGCTACTATAAAGTAATTTGTTAGAAGATAGAGGTAGCTAGCTGTTTTAATAAGAAATCAGGCAGGAGGAAGGATAGAGATGCAACCTTACAGAACTGAATCAGGGATACATAAGCTTTTATGAGCAGGAGCTCACTTCCTCAGATGCTATGAAAGGACATCCTCACGGCAGACTATGGAAGAAAGTAATTTGAATATAGAAGACGTGGAAGGGAAGGAGGAGAAAAGCTCTGCAATCTCCACTTTTGTGCATTTATACCTAAGATAAAGCCTATATGTTATGCTAAATCATACATATTCTCTAGAAATAAATACCTTCGATTTTGCAGGCATTTATAACCTGCAGATAATGTAGCATTTCTTCCTCACTTGCTTGAATGTGTTCTAGCAAGTCTTCTGTTGTATACTGTAGTATGCAAGGGGGAAGGGAAAAAAGAAGAGTCAGGTCCAACTTCAATTTAGGTTTACCAAGTGAACATGAAATATTGTTTCTGCACGATCTACAACAACACTGTATTGTTTTTGCATGATTTAAAAGTTTAACTGACTTATTTCAATGTTCCCCTTTGGTTTAAACCAGTCTCAAAGGGTCATTCAATTAAACTATTCTAATTAAGGAGAAGCCTTTTTGTCCATGCATCAATGATAGAAGTACATCCCAAAATTCAGATTGGCTGAATGAGCATCCTATACAAGATACATTCACCTTACATTCCCCCTTTGCTTGTTTCCTCTCCTATTGCATCTAAACCCCACTTTTGATTTTACACGATTCAAGGTAGGTTTAAAATTAAGCAAGAAAATTAGCTCATCCACATTCAGAATCCACCACCATCATCATCAAAATAAGCCACTTCACATTATAGTTTGAATAACTAATGAATAAAATAGAACGTTTGCCAGTTGCACCTCACCAGGTTCATCTTTCCTAGAAGAGGCATCTTTAAATATTTAAAGCTAGATTCATTGTAGTTTAAGAATATTTTCCTGGCAGGAAACTACTAGTAGTCCCTAGTAAGACAAAAATATAATAACCACCACTAACTTTAGATATTATTCTTGGTATATTTTATAAAATTTCGTCCCTTTCTCCAAGTCTGTCCCTTTGAGCAATTCCTTTTGTTTTTCCTCCTCCCTTGTTCTTCTATTAGGACCCTAGTCTCAGTAACATCAGATCTGATAAACTGAGTGGCGTGGAAACCATATAAATGCATAAAGAGAAGACCTTCAAGTTACACAGAGACACTTCAGGGAAAGTTGCTAGCAATTTAGTAGAGGGAACACTGCCCTAAGAGTTAGCAGAGAACAAATACCATAGGTATTTGGTACAGGTGAGCTCAAGAGAACTAGCCTGCTAGGCATGCTCCTTCAGGCAAGTTAGAACACTAGGGTCCTGTCCACTTACCTTAAATCACAGGTTTATTAATGAGCGTATGTCAGTTTGAGTGCCCTGAATAAACTACATCTGAGATAATTTAGGTAGCTAGAATAAACTATCCTGTGATTTTAACTTACTACAGTACTTTTCTCTCTCCCCCTCATTATTTTTAGCACTGCTGTTATCTGGATGTTGAACTTCTGCTGCTTCACCTCAGGGGTAGCCAAAACGTTGAGTATTATATCGCAAACATTATAGTAGAGTTAAGAATTCATGGAAGCAAAACTAACTAGAAATTTACAATAAGAATAAACTGCTTGTGTTCCGAAGACGAAAAGCGTGTTTATATTTTTTGTCATGGGTAAGTAAGAGTAAAACAAGCAGCATCATGAAATTTTTTTTTCCTATGCACTTGAATTATGTTTAATAAGCCAAAACCAAATCAGAGCCTATAGTAGGTACAAATTCTATCCACCCACAAAACTTACTGTCTAATTTTAAGTTTCATAGGGTCTTCCATGATACAGGCAAGAATCTTCCCATTAACATTCAGGGAACAACTAGGCATACCTAACATCACAGGAATATTGTATTTTAAATTCAGAGAAGTCTGATGTTAATTTTGAGCACTACTGTTTGGAATAACATGTTTGCAAGAGTGAAACAGCTTTATAGATATTCATTAAGTCAAGTGTAAATGTTTAACAAATGTATCTTATTTTCTAGATAAATTTATTTACTTTTTTGAAGTCTCCCGCCTTCAGGACATTACTTCTATTATTAACCACAGACTAGACAATTCATCCCTACTCAACTTGGATCTGACCTTGAACAGGATTTTTTGGAAACATCATTTGCATGTTAATAGTAAAAGCAATAACTCTGGTAGAGGACATCTCAGTTTTCTCCCTCCATATTCACTGACTACATTCAAGTTATTCTCCTTTATTTTCTTATCGTTCTATCTCCTTCCCTGAAAGGTGGGTGACTAGCAAAGACAGAAATCTGAAGTCACAAGAAGCAGAACTACAGGCACATACAAGTGAGGGAAAAATCTGGTCACATCAAGTTGACCAAACTCCCAGAAGTCTTTTTGAGATGACTCAAAATTGGCAGTGATTGTGACCTAAAGTTAACCCCAGTAAAATGCCAGGGAACTTGGAACATTTAAAACAATGGAACAATAGACCCATAAAATAAAATGATAACATGGTAATTTTTAGGAGTAATTAATTTGGGGTTGGGAAAATAACAGGAAAATATTCTCAAGGTGCAAGGATATGCTATTGTATTTTTAGGATCTATGAGCCAAAATATTACGTAACAAGCTTGGCTAGCATTGATAATGATGACATCACTAAAGGGTTAAATAGCCCAAGCAAGTGAAGTCAGGGTTCACTGTTTGCTGCATGCTATCTGAACCACTTGCATGAGTTTGAGAGAGATATCTGCATGGATCTCTAAAGGACGACCAAGCCTTCGGACTTGGAACAACAGCGCAACCCAGGAAGCTTTCCCAGAATGGCCAGCTGAGGGAAGTAACTCCTGCGTAACAGCTCTAGACAGACTGTGAAGTGGTGAAGAGTCACGTTAACGCACTCAGTCTTTGGTCTGCTTACATTCTGGCAATCCCAGTAAAGTTGACTACCTGTATTCTGGCAACCCCAGTTAATGACTTGCTTTGTGCTTAGTAGATGTTTTGTAGTCAATAAAGCTTCTGAACTGTTTGTCAGACGAGTGACGGTGGTTAATCACAGAGGTCTCCTCACCAACAGAGAAGTAGGGCTTGGATGAGTTTCTACCCAACAAGAATTACTAAATTCTCAGAGACCAGTGAAGGCCGTCACCTGTTCACCTCTCCCATTTCTCCCAAAAATTAAGCTAAAAAGGTGTTCTCCCATAGAATAATGCTGAATCTGTCCACTTCTTACACAAAAAGAAGTCTTTTTCTTCTCTCTGCCACCAGGCCAACATCTTGCTGGCTGCTGTCAAGTAACTAGCCGTTCCTAGCTAATCTGCCAGGCTCTCTCAGCATGGGGAAAAAATAAACAAAAAATAAACACAGACAAACAAAGAGGACACACAGGTGAGAGCAGGGCACAACTCTGCACTCAGGCAATACTTATAAACAGAGCAAGTGGTGTGGGAAGTTGTTTTCAATTTATTAGCAATTTTTTTAAGGGATTCTAAATCATTGCCTGCTGCAAACTCAAAAGTGTTTTATTTCACAGACTTACCTTTGAGTCGGCTGAGCTTTGATCTTTTCCAATGTCTGGCCCTTCATAAGGATTTTCTGATAAAAGTTTCTTCAGTTTCTTTAGCTTTGGTCGACATCGCCTTAATTCCCAATAGTTATTGGCAAAACCAGCAACCTACAATAAGAAAATAAAATGATTTTGAGTCATTTTAATTTAACACTTGTAGTCAAAGAATAGAAGAATAGAAAAGTAGGATTAGAAGGGACCTCACCTCAGGAGGTCATCTAGTCCAGAGGTGATCAACTCTTGGCCCATGAGCCAGATCTCAGTGTATAGGCCCAGGATAGGACAGTGCTGAGCCCCAGGGCCCAATCTCAGCATGTGGGGCTCAATCCGGCCTGCAGACTGGCCCCACGCTACTCATCTGGTCCACAAATCCAAAAGCTTGAACACCACTGCTCTAGTCTAACCGCCGGGTCAAGGCAAGATCCTCCTTACCCAAAAGCCAAGTACTTGTCTAAACCATTTTAATGTACAAACGAACGTCTGGTACAATTACTAGGCACAATGCAAACCAGCAAGAAGTAAATAATAATAAAAATAATACATAAATAATAACAATAAAAAAAATCCTATCTTATTACAGGTAAAGCAGGAGGATAAGGACACTATCGACATCTTAAGAGTCCTAGAACACCTTGCTACTGCAAGGACAGGAAGCAGTTTGTTAAAATACACTCAAGAGATCCAAAGAAGAGATCGTGAAAGTACAGTTAATGATGGACTCTGTAAGATTTTTATTAACATAAACAAGAAGAACATACCTGCGTATGAAAAATATTACATAAGGTTTGATCTGTAAGTAATTGCTCTGGAGTTTTGCAGCCAGGAATAAACAGCAACATATTCGAGGTATCTGCAATTTTCATGTCGTAAGTTTTATCTTTACTGCACAGCACAGCTTGTTCATCCCTTTCACCACGAATAACCAAGCTGCAAAAGAATTTTCATTTATAATGGGAGCATAACTATGTTCAATACTTCGTTATCCCTAAGGAAGAGATTTGAGAATGAAACATACATTTTAAATAAATTAAACATTGCTAAACTTGAATGGTGGCAAGTGACAGGTACTGCAACTGTTATTACTGACTGCATATAAAAATCTGTAGATGTAACATGCCAATTAGTTTAAGTTACAATATCCTGCTAATGAGAAAGTAGTTGAGGATTTAAGAGTTTGCTTCACAAACATTCTCACTGCAAACTTAACCCAAGCTATAATCTAAACCAGAGATGTCAAAACTATAGCCTGCTGGCTGGACCTGGCTCTGTGTTCAATCCGCTGACCGTGGTGATGCCCATGGGTCTCAGGCCTATGCACCACATGAGCATGTACTGGCCCCAGCCCTGTGCTCTGCATGTGGCAGCACCAGTCCAGTGCATGAGACTGGACCCAGTGCTTGTGGAGCATGCAGGCCTGGTTCATAGACTCATAGACTGTAAGGCCGGAAGGGACCTTAGAAGATCATGGGGTCCAGCCCCCTGCACCAAGCAGGAAAGACAACTTGGGGTCAGGTGACCCCAGCAAGGTGATTCTCTAGTCTCCTCTTGAAGGTTCCCAGGGTGGGTGATTGCACCACCTCAGGAGGGAGCTTATTCCAGTCTGGACACCCTGACTGTGCAGAAGTTTTTCCTAAAGTTGAGCCTACATCGGTCTTCCAGGAGTTTGTGGCCATTACTCCTGGTTTTCCCCTTGGGTGCCCTGGTGAACAGTTGCTCACCGAGCCCTTCATGTACTCCCCTGGTGCAGCAGTAAGCTGCTACCAGGTCCCCTCTCAGCCTTCTTTTCTTCAGGCCGAAGAGTCCCAGGTCCCTCAGCCTCTCCTTGTACAGCTTGCCGGGGAAGACTGATCGTACAGGTGGCTCTTTTTTGGACTCCCTCAAGCTTGTGCACGTCCTTGTTAAAGTGCGGTGCCCAGGACTGGACGCAGTCCTCCAGCTGCGGTCTCACCAGTGCTGAGCAGAGCGGAAGAATCACCTCCTGGGTTTTGCTGGAGATGCATCGGTTGATGCCTGCCGGAGCAGTGTTAGCCCAGCTGGCGTACAGGGTACGCAGCGCCCCGTCTTTGGGAGCCGCATCCGGGGCTGGTCTAGACGGGCTCTGGTGCGTGGGGCCAGCCTGTCGGTCCAATCCATCGCGTGGGCCAGCCCCACGCCCCTCCTCTAGCCCCATGAGCCGATAACCCTCATCTCAAGCCCTCCAAAAAGCTCATTCAAAAGCCTCCGACGTGCATTTGGAGATGACATCAGCTTGTTTCAACGCACTCCCTGAACCAAATAAACTAAAGGCCTTTAAGCGGGGCTGGGACACGCAGGGACAGGAGCGGGGCCTCCTCCCCCTGCCCCCCGGCCCGGCCCAGCCCGCCCACCTGCGGCCCGCCTCCAGCTCGGCGCACAGCCCGGCCTCCAGCTGCAGCAGGCAGCAGTCGCCGGCGCTGGCGCGGGGCCCGAAACGGAGGCACTGCGCGGCGGGCAGCAGCTCGGCCGGGTTGAGCTTGGCGATATGCAGCGTGGCGTCCACCTCCGCGCGGCTCCGCATGGCTCGGGCCGCCCCCGCGGCG